CTGTGAGAAGGTGATATTTGAGCTAACACCTAAAGAACAACAGGGGCAGCCATGTGATGATCTGGGGACAGAGCTCCCCAAGCAAAGTATCAACCAAAAGACTTGTATGCATGCATATAAGCCTCACGAATGGACACAGACAACAGGGGGGTGAAGGCATGAGTAGGGGGATGGAGGGGGTAATGGGGGAGATAAGGACACATATATAATACCTTAATCAATAAACAAATTTAAAAAAGAAAGAAAGAAAGGTGACCCAGTGCCTCTAGCAGAGAGAAGCAAGGGAAGAAGTGCGCACAGCCAGATCCTGTAAGGTGTGGCAGACCATAGCAAACGATGAGGTTTTGTGAACATGCAATGGGAAGCCCTTGGAGGGCTGTGACAGAGGGGCAGCATTCTCTGATGAAATTTTTGAAAGATTGCCCTGGCTGCTGTGGGGAGAACGGATCTCAAAGTGCAAGAGTAGAGTCAGGCAGGCTCATTAGGAGGTTTCTGTGGGTAATATGATGATGGCTTAGACCTGTGGACAGATTGGGACACACCTGAAAGGGCAACTAGCAGGCCTTGTGGATAGGTAGGATGTTAGGGGGAGGGAGAAAGAAAAGGGCCTGACTCTTCATCATAAACAGTCCTGACTCTTCATCATAAACAGTCCTGATTAAAAGCAGCCCCACAAGTACATCAAATTCTGTAAATAATTGTTGTCCAAATAGTTCATTTTGTTGTCATCTCCTCTTGGCTGCTCAGAACACAACCTTGTTTGGAAGCACATAAAGAAATTCTCTATTGGCCCCTGCTCTTTGTAGGGCCATGTGTGGCTTTGCCTCTGTCTAACCCTGCTGAGGGAGGCTAAGGACGTTTATCCTGCCCCTGGTTCTAATATAAGCGGAGAGAACTTGAATCATTTCATTATTCTGTATCTGTCATCTGAGAAATGGGGATATTAATGCCCACTCTGCAGAGGTTTTCTGGTGATAAGATGAAAGAACACGTGGTCTGGCAACTAGCTGAACTTCAATAAAGGGTAATAATAGTGATGATGATAAGTGACTCACAAGACAGAAGTGAGTAAAATTGACCTGGTTCCATCAGCTTGGAATCATTTAGTTCAATCTAAGTCTCTCCACTACCAAACACCATTACTGTAACTTAAGCCCAGGTCCATAAAGAAATGGCTGGGATTTGTCAAGCAACAGTGGTTTGTCCAGAGCAACAGCTCGGGCTGACTGGGTAATCTTTTGATGTTATTATATTACTTATTCCTAGTTCTTTTTACCAAAAAAAAATATTTTTATTGATTTCAGAGAAGAAAAGAGAGATTGAAACATCAATGATGAGAAAGAATCATTGATCAGCTGCCTCCTGCATACCCCCCCAATGGGGATCGAGCCCACAACCCGGGTACATGCCCCGACCGGGAATCAAACCATGACCTCCTGGTTCATAGGTCGATGCTCAATCACTGAGCTATGCCAGTCGGGCTTTCTAGGTTTTTTTTGTGAGGCATAGGAATAATTTTTGAAACAGTAGCAAGAAAAAAAGTTTCTGATAAAATAATGAGCCTCCCTTATTTTGAGCTTTCCTTTGATGCTTGCCACCTCCTTCTTCTTATGGCTCTTTGTCCACCATTGAAAAGGCCAGTGTCCTCAATTTGTGCCCAGCTGGAAAGAGAACATTGAGCTGAAGAGTGCAAAGGAGCAAAGACGTCACACTGAGATGATATTTTCCTTCATGAGGCATTTCAACAAGCATAACAGAGAGAATGTCTTATGAGCTGACCATCAGTTTTAAATATGGAAAATATCTCCTGACTTTAGAGCAGTCATTATGCCCTTTTTTTTAGATGTCACTAACAAAGCAGGTGGTTTGTCCTATATAAATAACATATTTAACATAAGGAGAGAGAGAAAAAAGAGATAAAAGTGACTGCTCCCTAAATCCTAATATCTACCCTGAGCCTTGCACATTTGGTAAGAGAGATGCTTCTTGATCCTGATGCATTCTTCTTGTCCCTCTGCTTTTTACTTTATTTTTTTTTATTGCTTAAAGTATTACAAAGGGTATTACATATGTGTCCTTTTTTCCCCCCCGCCCTTGACAGTCCCCTAGCCTCCCCTATCCCCCAGTGTCTTATGTCCATTGGTTATGAAATATATTTTATTGATTTTTTTAGAGAGAGGAAGGGAGAGAGATAGAGAGTTAGAAACATCGATGAGAGAGAAACATCGATCAGCTGCCTCCTGCACATCTCCTACTGGGGATGTGCCAGCAACCCAGGTACATGCCCTTGACCGGAATCGAACCGGGGACCTTTCAGTCCGCAGACCGACGCTCTATCCACTGAGCCAAACCGGTTTCGGCTGTCCCTCTGCTTTTGATGCCTCCTTTAATGTCTTTAATCATTATATACTTATGTTACCGTCTCTACCATATTGTTCTATCACCTGAAGTTCCCAGAGGTATAACTGTAGTTTTCTTTGTTGACTATCACTCACAGTCCATGTTCAGCAGGGCTTTTGCTATAAGAATCCTCGGTGACCTATCTGAAGCTGTGGCCCTGCAGAGTAGTTGGGGGTTTGCTTCTGCCATATCCTGCAGGGGTATTTCTAACCTGAGACCAAGTTTGATTTTAATGTTTCAGCTTACAGGTTTCTGAATGTGATAGTTAGTAAATATAAATCCCCAAACCTGTACGGCATAGTCACAGATCCTCAGGGGAGACTTTTTCCCCATCCATGGCCCAGGAAAAGACAAACATCCTTGTGACAGCAGATGGTTTTCCCCCCTAAGCCATCCTTTTCAGGGTCTCATTTTCATGTGGTGATATCAGTTCCAACTTCCGACTTCCTAATTTTCATGGGCCCTAGCACTTGAGTTCTGTGTTTGCAAGTTTAGCCATTTATTTAAAAGTAATGTGTGTTCTGTTTTATTCAGAATATCTTAACATTTTTGGTGGAAGGGTTTTTTGAATTATCTGTTCTACCACATGGCTAAAAATGGAGCTATCAAGTCAGTCTTCATACTGCAGCTGGAAAGAACTTTTCAACAAGTAAATATGATTTATTAGTCTTATTTAACTTCCCAAAGGTCTTAGGATAGAAACTAAAATCCATAACCAACAAGGCCTTCCCTACTTCCCCATCCTCATGTTGCACCATATCCCTTCTCATTCACTCAGACTGAGTTTCTACTCACTCTTTTGATTTCTAGAGCGTACCTCACTCCTATGATAATAGCAACTTTGTACATCCTGTTCCCTCTTTCTGGAACACTTTCATGTTCCCCCAGTTCATTCATCATTCAGATCTCAACATAATTGCAGTGGTAGTTGTCTAGACAAGTTTCCTCATATGTTCGTATATTGGCTCAGATACCTTCTCCTTTATTATACAGTTGTGACTTTACATTTATTTTTGTCGTTATTTTTAAATATATCTCTCACTCGCTGGACTACAATCTCTGTGAAGGCAGGTGCCATGTCTATTCTTATTCACCATTTTTGTTAGTCAGTAACACTAACTGCTACACTCACATTCACACAAAAAATTCTAAAATCTCAGTAATTTAACACCATAAAACCTTATTCCTCATGCCATAGTCCAATGCAGGTCAAGCAACTCTTCTCCAACTGAACTCCAGAGATCCTAATCCACCACTTCTTCGGCATGTTGCCATTTAGGTCCCAGTGAAAGGGAAAGAGGACAGAAGACCACATGGGAGGTTTTATGAACTAGGCTGGCACTTCCCATTGGCCAGAACTCAGTCACAAGCCCTATTATAAAGAGCTGGGAAATACAGAATACCTGTGTGCCCAGGAAGAAGAGGAGAAAATGGTTGTCGGCAAGCACTCACCATTGTATTTTTAGCAAAGAGCAGTTCCTGACAATAGGAAGTTCTCAATAAGCACAGATTGAGTGAATCAACAAATGGATGTATGGACGGATGGAGGAGGGATGGATGGGTTTGTTGTCAATGGGTAGCTCATTGATTCAGTTAGTCTGTAAGTTCTTCGAGTAGGAAGGCCATATCTGTGTTGCTCACCAGGATAGAGAAGTTGAGGCACATAGCAGAAGCTCCCACAAGAATAAATGATCACCACTACTTGGAAGTTTTTATGGAGGAGATGCACTGAGAGTGGATCTTTATGGAAGGGTATGGAAATAAATTGGAAAGGCATTATAAGAAGTAAATGTGTGAAAGCATGGAATGGATAGGGAAAAAAGTAGAAGAAAGTTAGTATGCATATGGTTGAAGTAAAAAGAAAGAAATCAATGGCAAACTTACAGGAGTAACACCTCACCCAGCTAGTGTCACCTAAACATGTCTGGTGGGTCCCAGACTCCATTATTTTCTCTCTTGATGTACACTTACATCAAGAATTATACCTTACACTTAGGAATAATGGTGCCTCTTTTGTGAAACAGCACATTTCCCCTCCCATTTTGACCTTTAATGTCAAAAATGAGTAAAAAGTGCCCAGAAATATATATTTGGTTAGTCAGAAATTGGTACAACAGAAGGCATTTTTCCCCTGACCATACAGAATGGTAAACCATGCTAGTTCCAGCCCCAGCTGTCAGGCCAGGATTTCGCCCTAGCCCTTGCCTAATCAATACATAGAACTGCCTAGTGCCATCGGGAAGGAGCTGTATTTTAAAAAATGAATGAAGTAGGACAGCCAAAATCTTTCCATTCTTCATGCTCTTCTCTGCAGCTTTCTGCGTAGGCATGGGGACTACCCCGAGAGCCTCAGGTGGGCACATGAAGGTGCCACCCTACTCTGCCCCAGAAGAGGCTGGGGCTACAGAAGTAACCCGCCCTCCATTACAGGCTTCTGAAATGCACTATTGGAGTTAGTGACAGGGGAGCCGGTCTACCTCGGGGGCTACGGCAGTGCAATGAGCTTTAGTGGATCAATACTTTAGTCTTGTCATGCTAATTGCTCATTGGTTGACATTCATGATCCTTCCTTGCTCCCTCCCTATGTAAACTCTTTACAGCTTGGAACAGCGAGATGTAAAAATCCTGAGTCTTCATAGCCAGCTCCTGCCGAAGAGAGAGGGCCTGGCAGCTGAGGTATGGTGCTCCCCCATTTTCTTGTCCCCCTTAAAAAAGCTTCATGTGTGTCTGCATGTGGTGATGTGAGAGGGAGACGCACGAAGAAATGCCTGGGGTCACTCCTGCAACACGTCAATGGTATTACCTTTTCAGAACAAAACAATATCTCCTCCCTTTCCACTCCTCCCCCTCTACCAAAAAATAGAAAGAAAGAAAGAAAGAAAGAAAGAAAGAAAGAAAGAAAGAAAGAAAGAAAGAAAGAAAGAAAGAAAGAAAGAAAGAAAGAGACACAGAAAAATACCCACCCCTTCTATGAGTTTGGTTGCAGCCCTTCTGTTTTGGTGAATGTGTCGCCCTTCTCAGCTCACAATGAACATGTACCTGCACTGTCCTCTTTGCTCCCAGCTTAGGGAGTATGTCAGACTGTGCTGCATGTGTGTGTGTGTGTGTGTGTGTGTGTGTGTGTGTGTGTGTATGGGGGGGGGGGGTGATCACGCCTACCATATTGGCTTCCTGTCCCTGGAACATCAGCTTTTCTTGCTGGCTGAGCCTGTCCCCACAACCACTGTTGCCACTGAGACCACCCCAACTCCTACCCTGTAAGCTTCAGGCCTGTGCTATGCAGGGTTTTGTTAAGCTGTTTAGTATTAATTGATTTTTTTTCCATTTTTTTCTTTCTTTCCCTGGGCGGGTCAATAGCTGGATGCTTCAGGAGCAGAGGATCTATCAACTGCAGACCAAGCATAGGGAGACGCAGGCAGACCTGGAACAGAAACCCAGCAGCTCCAGCGGCTCCAACAGCACTTGGTGGCCGGACGGTCAGCCGCAGGAAGCGTGCCAGGGGCCATGAGGCAGGGAATGACCCAATCCTTGAGGTCTGGTAAGTTTTCTCACTTTTGGAAAGTGAAGCAAATGATAACCAAGTCTTTCTTTTCTTACCCGAGAGTCGGCAGCATTTCTGCTGATTTCAGTTAATGAGCTAAAGATCAAAATTAGGATGCCCCCAGCATATCTGGGAGAATGGAGGGGTTGTGAGGGAGGAACGGGAGTTTGGGGGATAGATGAGGGCTAACCAAACTCCGATCCTAAGGTGAGCCGCTGCAGCCAGGCAGATGTCCTGGGTATCGATCCCTGCATCCTGTTATCGATCTCCTCTTGGGGCCAAGAATGGGGTGGACCTTCAGAGGACAAGAGAAGAACCGACACCCTCCCAGAGGGCCGTGCAGCTCTAATCAGTGATAACGGTGTTAAGTGGTCAGCTTGGAGATGAGGTTTTGCTCAGATCTATTGATCTGTGCTCCCCTGGGATATAAATCCTTCTGAATTTGCTTCTGTGGATATAAATATTTATAATTAAAATAGCCTAGGCACCTCTTACAGGCTTGGGAGAGTGGCCCATCCTAGGGTAAGGTTTGATATCAGCCTCCTATCAGTGTATGTACTGTCTACAATGTGGGGGAAATTCATTTGTACACGCTTCTCCCTCTCTTGCATCGCTCTGTTCTCTCTTTTGAACCCTATTTTGCTCACCCTCTGAGTGACAGGCACAATGTCCGCTGACTACCAGAAGCTGGGGAAAATCCATTCTTTCTGAATGCAGCCTCCAGCAGAGGAGGGAGTGCCACTCCCCCCACCCCCACCCCCATCCCCGGTCAAGGCTACACAGTTTCATGTGCATTCAGGAGCCTGGACTCAGAAAGGAATGGGCTGTTTTTGGTGGGGGCATGGGGACCTCTTTAGTTGTTGCTTTGTTCTTGCTTTTATTGGGGCATCAGTTTGGATCCAGTAACGTACAGGCTTTGTCGCACAAATGTTTTAACCAATGCCAAGACACTGCAGGCTCACTAGCAGTGTTAAATCCAGGAGAACAATTTGAAGGGCCCCAGACTCCTGTTTCTCAGCACCTCATAAATATAAGCTCACATGAAGTGAACAGAGCATCCCTTATCCTAGAGAATAGAAAAAGAAAGGATGCTGAGGACTCGTTTGCAGGCATAACCCTTGAAGCCAGCCAGCCAGATCAAGACCATTGGCCAAAGCTTTGTCCACTGTAAGGACAATCCTATAAGGGATTGAAACCAATCAGCTTTAATTTTCAGAAATTTGAGTTGTTAGGAAGAATGGTCTTTGAAATCATTTGCTGTGCTCGCTAAAGCTATCATCGGCTTTGGTGTCCAGGATACAAATCTTTTCCCCCTGAATCTATCATCTGCTTTGGTATCCAGGATACAGTCTTTCAGTTTTAGAACTTCTGACTTTTTTTAATCAAGTGTCTGCCTTGCTTCAGTGCTTACATCTTGAACTGTGTGTCTTTGCCTGCTGCCCTCAGCAGGTTTCATTAATTTGTAATTGATGCCTATAAAATTATTTAAGGACTTCTGGATCTTACTTGTCTAGTGTGTATGTTATTGGGTATGTAGGATGTGGGGAAAATTCATTGGGTTTTGCTTCTCCTGGTTTTAGACTGTTCATTCACTCTGGGCCATTTGTGTGAGTTAATAAATGTATGTCTGTGTATCTCTGTGCAGGTGTCTGTACTTGAGAAGCAATTAATATAATCAGGTTAGAGTAGTGACCCCATATTTCTCTACCATTGCATTAACTATGCATTCCCAAATGCATATTAAGCTTTGTGTTTTTTTTCTTTTTATTCAGAGGTGGTAGTTTTAGAACTCAAATCTAGCTTTCTTCTCTGTTAGAAAATGATTGAGGGTTAGAGACTATTCCAATTGGCAGTTAAGGGTCAGTATTTTGGACTCCAGTTGGCTCTGATAATTTATATAGAATGAAAGTCTAACAGGTATAATCACAATAGCCTTGACTTAAGAATGTTTCTAAGCATACTTGAGGCTGAAAAACACTTCAAGCTGAAAATGGAAGACTGTTCTGGTTAGTAACTGTATGTTTCTGTGGTGATGGAAAGAATTGGAATGCAGTTCTCTTTGTTTGATTTATATGGTGACACTCAGAATGTGAAAGGTATATTTTACTGTAGAAATAAACTTTCAACATTGACCTAGAGAATGGAAAACCCAGGCTGGTACTTAATTTCTTCTCTGCTAGGTTATAATGAAAAGCATAATTAATTTTAAAAAAACAATTTTTTAGGCAGAAAAACCTTGACTGGTGTCTTTCTCCCATTGTTTGCAATATTTAGCAATATTTTCTTGCATGATTCATCTGAAGAACAAGCTTATTTGGAGGAAGTGACCTAAATTTCAAAATTTAATGCACTTCATTAATAAATGTGTTTTCTTGTGATCTTAGTGCCACTAAATCTAAATAACACATACATAAATTCATTGCTGTCCTGTGCTTCTATTTCTACAAGTCTTATTTGAAAGCTTGCTGCCAGCCACAGGGAAATGGTTTTATTATAGAATCACCTACGATTTAGGATAACAAGCTTCAATGTCTTCAGTATTGTAGAAATTTAATTCCTGTGTTATGGATATATTCATATGCTACATTTGTCTTTTTTATTCTATATACACATATGTTATTGTTAATCCTTACCCCAAGATATTTTTTCCATTGATTTTTTTTTAAAGAGAGTGGAAGGGAGGGAGCAAGCGGGGGGGGGGGAGGGAGGGAAGCGCAGGGGGGGAGAGAGAGAGAGAGAGAGAGAGAGAGAGAGAGAGAGAGAGAGAGAGGAGAGAAACATTTATATGAGAGAGAGATTAATTGGTTGCCTCCTGCACACACCCCAACTGAGGTTAGAGATCGAACCTGCAACCCAAGTGCATGCCCTTGACTGGGAATCAAACCTGCGACCCTTCGGAGCACAAGCCAAACTCTAACCACTGAGAAACACTGGTTAGAGTTTCAACACCTATTGAAAAATAGGTATATTTTTCAATCCCATTTGTCTAAAAGTTTTTGCATGCAAAAGTTTTTACATTCAAAATACAGGGGTGGGAAAAAGTAGGTTTACAGTTGTTTGTATAGAAAAAGACATACAGGTTATGATTATTCCAATAGCTTCATTAACTCAAAAGAATGTCGCAATGCAACTATAAACCTATGTTTGCCCACCCCTGTATTTTATAATGCAAAGATAAGAATATTTCACTGTTATTTTTATAGTCATAACATAAAAATGTAATTATATTGATATTTCACTGTTATCTTTATTAATAATATATATATTAAGTTTTAAATTAAGTTTTCTGAACATCTTGACGTATTCATTTAATCCTTAGTGCAAACTTATAAGTTAGAGCAAGAGTCACTATCTCCATTTTGCCAGTAATAAACATGGACAAGGTGACACATTAATTAGTGTGAGACTTGAGTCTATAACAGTGATGGCGAACCTATGCCACGCGTGTCTGAGGTGACACGCGAACTCATTTTTTTGGTTGATTTTTCTTTGGTAAATGGCATTTAAATATATAAAATAAATATCAAAAATATAAATCTTTGTTTTACTATGGTTGCAAATATCAAAAAAGTTCTATATGTGACATGGCACCAGAGTTAAGTTAGGGTTTTTCAAAATGCTGACACGCCGAGCTCAAAAGGTTTGCCATCACTGGTCTATAACCTGAGCCTATTGACTCCTAATCAAATGCTTTTCCAAAGCTACCAGCTACCTCCATTAATGTTTGATAAAATTTCAGCATGTTCTACATGTCCAGCACTATCACAACCGTTGAAATGCCAGTAAGACAGTGTTGGTTGATCTTAAATTCTACTCATGCAAGAAAAGATAGCATGTAAGTATTTTAGGCATCTTTCTTTGGCCTTTAGCATGCCACAAATGGCTGCAGAATCCAATGACATGACAGGCCATTTTGTTAGGCTCCAAAATTCTTTGAGTTATTAATATGCCTAATAAATGAATTTGGTCACCAAGAACATGTCCCTGTGAAAATAAAGTGAGTATCCTATCTAATAAAAGAGTAATATGCAAATTGACCATCACTCCAACACACAAGATGGCCACCCCCATGTGGGCACAAGATGGCCGGCAGGGGAGGGCAGTTGGGGGCGACCAGGCCTGCAGGGGATGACAGTTAAGGGGGACCAGGCCTACAAGGGAGGGAAGTTGTGGCTGATCAGGCCTGCAGGGGAGGGCAGTTAGGGGCAACCCAGCTGGCAAGGGAGGGCAGTTAGGGGTGACTGGGCCAGCAGGGGAGGGCAGGTAGGGGCGACCTGGCTGGTAGGGGAGCAGTTAGGCATCAATCAGGCTGGCAGAGGAGTGGTTAGGAGGTGATCAGGCTGGCAGGCAGAAGCAGTTAGGGGCAATCAGGCAGGCAAACAGGTGAGCAGTTGGGAGCCAGCAGTCCTGGATTGTGAGAGGGATGTCTGACTGCCTGTTTAAGCCCAGTGGGATCAGGCCTAAACGGGCAGTCAGAAATCCCTCAAGGGGTCCCAGATTGGAGAGGGTGCAGGCCTGGCTGAGGGACACACACACACACACACACACACACACACACAGCCGTGCACGAATTTCATGCACCGGGCCTCTAGTATAATATTATATTTTACAATATCATTGTGCATATATTTAGTCCTCATACCTACCAATATCTGCTTTTAAAGAAACATTATGTCTAATTAGAAGTATCAATTGTAGTCCTTAAAGTCAAGCATAAACTTTTTCACTTCTGAAATAACTACGCCCCTTCCCCCAACCTTCTCATCAGTTCAGAGGGTCTTAACCTTTTCTGTGCTGTGGATCCCATTGCCAGTCTACCATAGACCTGAATCCTATGGACATCTTCTCAAAATAATTCTTTTAAATGTGTGGAACAGAATATATAGAATTATAAAGGAAACCAATTTATATTGAAATTCAGTTATTAAAATATCAAAATCAACTAAATACTAAAACCAATTTCTGATGTGAAAATGTATACTTCTTAATAACATGCT